AACGGCGAGGGCGTCGGGAGCGTTGTGGAGGGCGCTGCTGCTCTCGGGGTCAGCAGGGAGCGAAGCGGAGCCGGGAGCTGCGCGATGAGCGGTTGCCGGAGAGCTGGGAAGCGAAGCGGCGCGGTTCCCGGAGGTCTCGGCGTCGGTGCTCGGTGCAGTGCTCGTGTTGGCGTCCGGGTCTTTGTTCATGGGGTCGTGAATCCCACCTTCGTCGCCAGTGAAAAGTATGCAGACGGAGAGTGATTTCAGCTAAGCATACCTTTATTTAGTTCCATTTTTTCTACGAGATTCCTGGCCACAGTAGTAGATATAATGGTCTTCTGAGTTAAATTCGCCCATTCCTGTCCACTTTAGTTCACTGATTCCTAGGATATCGATGTTCAGTCTTGCCATCTCATTTTTGACCACGTCAAGCTTACCTTGATTCATAGATCTTACATTCCAGGTTCCTATGTAGTATTGTTCTTTGCAGCATTGGACTTTCCTTTCACCATCAGACACATCCACAACTGAGGGTCCTTTCGGCTTTGGCCCAGCCGCTTCACTCTTTCTGGGGTTACTTGTACTTGTCCTCTGCTCTTCCTCAGTAGCATATTGGACACCTTCCGACCTGAGGGGCTCATCTTCCGGCGTCATATCTTTTAGCCTTTTGATACTGTCCATGGGGTTTTCTTGGCAAACATACTGGAGTGGGTTGCCATTTCCTTCTCCAGGTGGATCACGCTTGGTCTGAGTTCTCTGCTGTGGCCTGTCCGTCTTGGGTGGCCCTTCACGGCATAGCCCACAGCTTCATTGAACTGCGCAAGCCCCCTCGCCACGACAAGGCACTAAACTTTGTGGCAAGCACTCTGCTGACCCCTGCAGGACTAAAAGGGCAGAATAATTTTGCCTGCAACAAGAGCTCTGGAGGCCTTCAACTGTGGAACTGGAATTTAAATTGTGCGCTTGCCCAGCAAAAGCAGAAAGCATGGGGGGGGGGGCAGCTGTTCAAAGAGAAGCACCAGACAAAAGTGAAGCCAGACAAAAAAAGCAAAAACATTCCTTAACATAGTTAAAATAGAACTGATCCTTCGTTCACCTATAGGTTTCCTGATCCAATTACCTCCCCAGATGACAACGCACATCACCATTCACAGCAGCCACCCTGCTAAATGATTCTAGGAAATGTACCTGTGAGCTCACTGGGAGGAGAATTTTATAGTCTGTGCCCCTTTGTGTCTGCTCTTTCCCACTTGCAAGGGCAAGGGCCTAAAAAGGCTTGAATTTCCCCTCAGAGATGGAGACAGGAAAAAAAGGATTAGCTTGTCCAGAGAGAAAAATTCTCCACAAAGTACGGTGAGGCTTTTCTGAGTGTCAAAGCAGGTCACTCTGTGAAGGCAGGCGGCAGAGCCTAGGATGTTCGCAAAATGTAGAAAAAATCCTAATGAATTCCTGGGATCCTTTCCCACAGTTCATTACAGGGACACTCTCTGTGACAATTTTATCAGAATGTTGCCATGTTCTTTCAGTCCTGTGTG